TTGCAAGCCAGTCATTTGAGCCACCACACAACCCACACACACCACCTACCCAGCAAAGGCTGCAACCTATGCCCTTTGCTTGACAAATGCATGGCTGCACAAATCTCACGAGTGGAGTGACTGGACTCTTGAGGGGGCGGATTTGAATCTTGAGATGTTTTTAATAAATTGCCAGGCAGGGTTGGGAACATAACAATTTAGCCAAGGCTGGCCAAACTTTTTTAGCCAGAGCCTATGTTGGGTTCCCCCCCACATTTATCCAGGTACCCAACGTCATTTTATCCACTTTTGAGCCCAAGCTTGAAGAAAATCGGATTTGTGGCACGTTGGGTACCCTCACAATTTATCCACCTTTAGGGGACCCAACCCCACCTGGTGTAGCCGAAGGAGGATTTGACATCTAATCCAACCACTTGCAGCATCACAATAAGTCACCCCAATTCCGTTATATTATCCTTAATCCATGGAGAACCTGGTTTCCATCGTCCCGGTCTCAGGATTCCGGGTGTCTCCAACCTTCTCTTCGGCCCGCGGCCCTTCGTCCCCCTGAGCCCATCCGCCTGGGACTGGGCGGCTCCAACCGCCCTAGCGCAGCCACCCGCTCCGCTGCTGGCGCTGCTCCCGCTCCCGAGCTTGGCGCCTGCTCGGCAGAAGAGGACCACGCGGGCCGTTGGGATGCGCCGGACCGGGACCGCTCGGGGGAAGTCGCCATTCCGACGATTCCTGGTGTCGGTTGCAAATGAAGCCGTCCTTGTTTTACTGTGCGGCAACGAAATGGCCCAGGCGTGGCCGTGAGTTGCAAACGAAATTGTTTTGTGTTTGAGTCAAGTCAGTTGCTACATGTTGCTACATGCTGTATAATATATATACAGTATATACTGCAAACTATACTGCAAATATCTGCAACTTGGTTTGCCAAAAGAATTGGCGTTCAATTGTCAAATGGGATTGACTGTCTCTTCCGGGTATTTGACTGCTCACCCCACAAGCCAATTCCAGGACACATTTGTTGGGCTTCTTGGTCGAGGTGGATTCCAAGCTTCTGAGTGGCCATGCTTGAGCTGAGAGCGGCTGGAAAAACAATCAATGCTTGCGGAATCCTCATAAAGCTGGACACAGCCAGGATTATTTTGGCAGAGACACTGTCAATATTTAGCACAAATGTTGACATCACGACCCAAGTAGTGCCTTACTCACTGGCTTCAAAGAGGTTGCACCCGAAATTGGCTCTTAGATTAAAAACGACATTTTGCAGTGCAGCTTCAAGAACCCTGTGCATAGATAGTTTTAGTTTGTTCCCGCACTTTTTCATTTTGTTCACGACCTTACTTCGCCTATGCCGCTGAGCACAGCAGTCCGCTGAGCAGAGCGGACAGGCCGGAACAAGCGCCAAGCCTCAAGGATCAAAACCGCCTATTTCGAGATGGAAGCCGCCGATCCACAGGTTGGGGGGGGGGGTCATGGTGGGGTAGTTGGGTCCTCCAATCGCCGAAACGGGACGAAACGGCCAACGAATTGATGTGTGTGTGTTTTTTCTATTATTTGAGGATTTTGATGGGGGTTAAAGATCCTTAGGGCCCTTAGGGTCAACGAATGCCAAGGATTCCAATCTCACGGTGGTTTTGAACGGTCGATCTTGACAGATACAGTTAAGTTACATAGTCACTACGCCATACATCGGGTCTTTTGCTTTCCGGTTTACACTCTCCCCACAGCTGAGACCCCTTTTACAGCTCGCGCCGAAACGAGAAGCGATTCTGTGGCCATCAAAGCCAACAAAACACCCTCGCACGAGCTGAAGAACAAAATTCAGTTGCGTTATATGGTCCGCCACCATGTGTCAAGGATTCATTGAGCTTGGCTTGGGTTGACCCCCAACCAAGAGAGTCCAACTGGAATCTGTGCTATTTCAATCTCCTGATTTCCCTTATGACACCATGACAAAACGTGGGGTAGCACCACGTTGGGTCCGTAAAAGGTTCCCCCCCCAAAAAAAAAGGATTAAATGTGATTAGATATATTCAATGGCGTCCAACATGTTCCAATACATGTTCCCATTCGCTCTTCAATCATGTTTTTGCCTAATGGAGTCTTGCAATGCCGTGCCTCAACTTCAGGATGATGATGAAGATGGCGAAGGCGGGTAGCATACTGTGTGGGTATTGGTTTGACCTACAGCCAGACAAGAACTGCGAGCATTCATCCCGGAACTTGAGGCCATGGCCTGGGTCAGGACTTGTTCTGTTCAATATGAGTGTGGCTATGTACTCTCCAAACACCTGACTGATATGAATATGGAGTTCTCACTTTCTTTCTACTGGATGCTTCTCAAGGTCAAGGGTCTAACACGGTCCAAGTTAGGCGGGTCAAGACAACAGACCTTATTGATCAGGTTGGCGCTTCTTTTGGGGTTGCTGATGTCTTTCGAACCATGTTCGAGGGAATGCGGAGGAAAAAATAAAAAATACGTTTCCGTGAGCAGTACGAGCGTTCTAGACGCATGTTATTTGTGCCATTGGTGCGTGGTGCGCTAGCTCATTTGAGCCCATCAGCTGGAGGAAGCATGAAATAGAAAAAAGGAACTACAGCGAAAGGATTCGATCGAAGAACCTGTAAGAGGGAGGCCCGGTCCAAAAACCGATGCCAAGAAGAAAGACAACTTCCAAAATATACAATCGCCAACTAGTCCACTTGACTGGATTGGAAAGGTTCATCTAGTTCTCCAACTTTTTTCAGAAGGGTCGCCAACCAGACTTCAGCCAGGGCACTAGAATCACTAGAACTCAGACAAGGCCCTTCCAATCATGTTTTTACTTGCCCCCTTGTTGCCGGACCCTTGAATGTCATGAGCCACAAACACACCACTACCTAGTGGCCTCAACAGGCGTGCACTTCAGATGGCAAGGCCAAAACTTTGTTTCGAGCTTCAACGCTCCAAACAAACTGTACCAAAAATAACACCAAAGTGGCGCGGATTCTGCCTGACGTTAAATCGTTTAGTTCTGGTTCCAACCTGTTCCTACCACAAGCTTCCGGTTCCTGACGTTCAGTACATCAATAGTGTATATTTGCACAGACCTTTTGCCTTTTAAACGTCTTTGGCCAATGGCTGGACATGAGTTGGAGTTCCTGGGCCCTTCTCCTTCTCCTCACGCATGGCCTCGCCACGCGGTCGCCGCGCGGAGCGCGGCACGGGGCGCTCCGGGCTGTGCGCGACCGCGCCGATGGGACCTCGGAGGTGTGGCGACTTGGCACAACCAAAGTGATGAGAGCAGTGATTAAACCCTGAGAAAAGGGATTCCAGAGGTTGAGTTCCTTTGTGTACCGAGGGCGGCGAAGGACACGCAGTCAAAGTTCCGGGTTTCGAAGTTAAATCATCTTAAATCCTTAACTTTTGTGGGAGAGGCCTTTACAGGCCTTGAACCCAGCCATCGCTGCTTGGGCGCCCTTCGTTTCGCGGCTTTTTGAGGTGCCGCAAGACGGTGCTGTTGATGAACTCCAGCCTAAGCTGCCTGCTGATCCCGCGACGTCGACGCCAACACATTTGGCTCACGCCTCACGAGCTGGAGATACGCTTGCCCGAGGACCCCCCGGATTTCTGCAGGGGATGGAGGGGGAGTGATTTGAGGGATGCTCCTATGAGAGTCTTTGGTTCAGATGCATGTAATGTTGGAAACTTGGCTTGTATAGATGTTTGTAGTATGTCGGGAAACTTACTCCAAAATGTTGGAACATCCAATAACACTCTCACATGTGATGTGCCAGAAATTGCAGTGTGTCATGCTTCTTGTTGCACTTCCTGTGACGCTGAATCGGACATCTTTTTCTTGCCACCCCTCCTGTCTCAGGAGCAAGGACACTTGGTGACGAACCACACGAACCATAACTCCACGAGCGCCGCGGCACTTCGGAGGGTCTGGAACTTTCAAGTCCACGGCACTTCTCCACGGCTCCAACACCCCTGCGGAGTCCTGGACTTTGAAATCTCCATGGGGCGTCTCACATTCCACTCCTTCTGGACCCTCGGACCGGCGGCCGGCCTGCCAGACCGGCCTGGCAACCGGTAGAGTTCGGGCAGAGCGTTTCTTTGGTTTTTGCTGGTGTCAACTCGAAGCTGACTGCTTGATGAGCATTTTGACCCATAGCCATGTTGTAACCATTTTGGAATCAAGGCTACCTGACTCGATCATGACAGACTGGCCGACTGGAATTGTTGGATATTGTCGCTATTGTTGAAGGTTTTCTTAGTGTGGAGGGCTGGTTGCGCACACATTTGCCCAATCCTTTTGCGACTTATACATGTGTGTGTTCACGTGTTGTTTTCTTTGCCAAGTGTATACTTTTCGCTGCTGGGCGCCGACAAACCGTTCTATTTGTGGATGGACGTTCATCACCATCCTCGCCGGAAAACAGCCCAGAAAGGCACTGAGCAGGGAATTGAATGCATAAACATGGCCTTAATTGAACAAATCATTGAATTCCCCGTTTTTGAACGCTGAATTTCATTTGTCTCCGGCACCCCTTTGACTTCCTCAGGAAGTTGGCTTTGCTGGGCACTGGCCATGATGCCTTCGAGCGGCCCTACGAAGAACAGCCTGGCCAATGGACGCTGGCCGTCTCTGCCTGCTTTGGGCAGTTGAGCAGCTTTGAAGAGCGAACCAGCCGTTTGCTGCAGCAGAAAGCCTTAAGGCCACGGATGGACTGCCATGGCCGTGGGCCGTGGCTGGTCCCTAAAATGGCTGGTCCCAAAAGGTGTCCGAAAAGACTGGTCTCATGTCAATCACTGGTGTTTTTTGGTTCAACATGTCAACATTCAATCGGCTCAATGTAAGGAACGCGCCTTTCTTTCCAATCAAGATTGGGCTCTTTAATTTTTACTTAACGTTTTTCTCTAGTGTAGGTACGTTTTTTTCCATCAGTTTATGTCAGCTTTTTCAAGTCTTTCAGAACCACGGACAAATACTTAGAACGTAGCCATAACCTAGCCTATATCCTGTACACTTTCTGGAGATCTAGCACTCTGAGTTCATCTCTTTTGGCCTCCCGCCGTAGTACGTCGCCGGCATCACAGGCCCTTCCTGGTGCCCTCGTCCAGACCCAGCCTGTCCCGCGCTCGACGCAAGAGTGCTCCACGCAGCCTGGGCGGCCTGGCACGTGGAGAGGCGATTTGGGTGGAGGGACAGTGGAAAAGAGAAAGAGACAGGAGCAAATGGGACGTTCAATAGGGATGGATCAGACAGTCTAGCACTACGCCTGACAGTCTTAAAGTAACGCTTTGTATAGTCATTGGTTGCATGCTGGTTTCAACATTGGGTTCCTATACTATATTATATGTACTTGTGTGTGTGGATGTATGTTATGTTGTGCAAACAATGCATGTGAATGTGTACAAATGTATATGACCACAGGTGGATGTTTCATAGGAAGCCCGGACAAATTTCGTGTTTGGCTGCGACGAGCTGATCCAGGTGGTGGTGAAGCCCGAGTTCCTGCAGCCTTCTGAGGCAAGTGGGAAGTTCAGAGACGGTGAACTGAAGAAGGCTGAGACGGTGTACCTCCGATTCGTGTGACGCCCCAGTGGATTCCCGCTTTTCACGAAAGCTAGCCTTAGCTAGCTGGAGTTGCTCTTGCTTTAGCAACTTAAGTGACGGGGTGGACGCACCTCAGAAACCTCAAATAATTGATTAAATCAATCTTATGGACCCCCCCCCCCCGCGGTTCGACTCCCCCCTGCGCGCGGTGAGCGGGACCACCAAGCAGCTGCAGCACACCAAGCATCTGCAGCGCCCAGCGCAGCAGCGGCAGCAGCAGCAGCAGCACCAGCAGCAGCAGCAGACCACCCAGCGGCGGCAGCAGCAGCAGCAGCATACCCAACGCCGCGGCAGCAGCAGCCGCAGCAGACCACCCAGCGCCAGCAGCAGCAGCAGCAGACGACCCGGCGCCTGCAGAGCACCCAGCGCAGCAGCGCCCAGCGCAGCAGCGGCAGCAGCAGCACCAGCAGCAGCAGCACCAGCAGCAGACCACCGGAAGCCCGGCTAGCTTTCGTTCACCCCCTCTGGCCTCAAGTCTGGGGACATCATTTTTGCATGTGCGAGTTTCCGCTGGTTGGGGCCAGACAGACTGGACCATGTGCTGGTCACCGGGACTTCTTGCGCGGACAAGTCCATAAAAGTCCCAATCCCGAGTCACGATGGTTCTTTCGATGTTCCACTGGTCGTGGTGTTTGGGTTCAACATCGACAAGATATTCGGTAATCCAATCCCATGGAGTGAAGTTCGGATAGCGGAAGGTATACATTCGCAAAAACCGTCCTCACCACCGAACGCGTCTTGGAGAACAGGCTCCATGCGCATGGCTCCAAGCTCGATGAATGTGTGCCAATTTGTTTTGTTAAGGAAGTGTGGGTGCACCAGGTATCGGTCATTTTAGCTAATAGGAATGCCAGTTGGAGCCTTGCCACGATCCTCAGAAATGTGTTCAAAGGACCATGTTGAGATCCTTTATATACGCGAATCCGAGTATACAGTAGTTACATGACTCAATAAGACCAACAGCCTTTGGTTCCAGGGATGTCCAAGTCCTCACATCCGTGCTCGCGGCAGGTGAGTCGGCTGGCCGCGTGGGAGGAGCGTTGCGCTTTCAGCGTGGAACGCAGTGAGGAGAAGAATGAAGGCCCTCGGACTGCGAATGATGCGGGAGAACCACACGCTCGTCGTGCCAAAGTGTTTTGTTTTTTTTGTTTGGTATTTGTTCTTTGATGAGTTCTTTGCCTAGACCCATCTCCAGTTTCACTTCGGGCAAACCCATTGGACGCCCCAGAAAAAATGATTTCATTGGTTCTGGACGAAGGATTGGTTCTTTGTGCGTGTGTCTTCTATAGGATTCTTTTGACTTGATTTGTGCTTGCTGAAAGAGTCCAATCTTTTTTTCATGAAGATCATGAAGGACCTGCTGGTTGTTTTGTGCTGCTGGATCCTTTCTGGTATATATGGAATCATATAGGGTGCATTTGAATAGGGAGAACCCAGGTTCCACCCCCCTGGTGTGTTTTGGGCAAATATAGGCGAAAACCCACCGAGAATCTCCCTGTTTCAAAAGTGAGAACCACCGGAAATCAATATTGTTCCTAATTTCATCGGTGGATGAACTTCAAGTAGTCCAAATTCCAAACGAGATGGTGCAAACAGGCGTCCAGGACCAGGAGAAAACATACATATATATATATATACATGTATATGGACATATATAGCGTTTGAATGAATGGCTTGACAGATCTTCATGTAAACAATGTCCAAAGGACATTGATCCACGGGAATCGGGAGGCTTTCTTTTGGAATCTTCAGCGCAGCCTAGGGGCCGCTCACCCAAAGGCCCGCATCCAGAGGCCCGCTTTTCACTGGGGATCATCTCAGAGGGGTACCTTCTGGAGTTCAGACGACAAGTTACTACTTGGGTTCACCAACTCCTTGAAAGCTGCCGCTAAATTCAGGATTCCCTGCTGCTTCGTTGCTCTTCCCTGATTTTAAAGGACGGGCCTCTCTGTCTTTCTTCCTGCCCTGTCTTTCTTCCTGCCCCTGTGCCACTGCATGAAGATCACTTCGCGCTGGCAGCTGGGCGGTTTTTTTTGAGAAAAGAGATGTGTGCGACCCGACTAGTTTGATTAGACAGCCCCTTCAAGCGCAGTCATCTCAACGAGTTGGTGCCTCACGGCGAGGTGAGCATTGCTTGGCCCAAGGATGTGTGGCCTACTGTGGGCTGTGGCAGATGGTGCAAGCTGCCAGTGACCCAGACGTATAGCTATAGCAGAAAGTGTTTGGGGGTCTTGTTTACAGTGTTTGTTTGTTGTTGGTCATTGTGGTTCGTCGTCTTCGTGACGAAAATCGTGACGCATCACCTTTGGAGCTGAATAAGGGATGTGATACCAATGGTTTTTAGGACTCAAGCATGGTTCTCAGATTCTCCAGGACTCAAGCAACACGCACCGGTCACAGTCACGTATTCGCTTTCTGACATTTGGGTGATCTTGGGGGTAAGCAGCTAGAAGATGCTAGGCTAGAAGTTCTGTTTCTCAATGGGTACAAATTAAGAACTAAGTAGACCCAGTGGGCCAAGTACACTCATGCCACTTCGGCCGAAAGTTATGTTTCAATCTGGGTTAACTGACATGCTGTAACTCGGATTTGCTGGGATAGTTCGTAGCCTAGCTAGATGAATGAGTCTTTGCATGTTTTTGCCTATAGAAGTATGTTGTTTGTTTTTTCTTAATTCTTGGGTTCTTCATGTCAAGTCCACCATTTCTCACGCCTTTGCACCGCTCTTTACTCTGACCCACGACTTCATCATCGATACCCAGGAGATGATGATTTGCAGCTCTTGTTGAACGTGACCGATCGCGCCTCGCGCTTGGTGAACGACTTGGCATCTGAACGGATCTCCGCCTTCGAGTTCGCTGGAAAGGTATGGCCTCACTGGGCCACCTTTCAGCACTACCTGCCAGGCGCGGGAGAGACCGCGAAGGCTTGATGTATACAGTCCCGGCTTCTCCTTTCGGGTAGCAAGTGGATGGTGCTGGACGGGCCAGATGGGTTGAAGAAACGAATCTGATGAGGTTGAGGGGTGAACAAATTAGAGAACCAAGGCGGCAACTGATCAGTGTTCAGTCCCCAACCACGCTTGTGGTTCGATTCCAATCCCAAGGTGTTTCTCGTAAAACTGTGGGTTCAGGTTCAAGTTTGAAGACCCCACATTGTGTCTCGGCGATCCGATGGGAAAGAACTTATTCTCATTTCGAGGCGGGAAGCATATTCTTCATCCTGACACGGACAAGGGTGAGCATTGCATGTCCCTGGCGGTGTCCTTCTCCACTCATGGCGTGGACTTCACTGGTGGCGAGATCAAGATCTACGAGTGCCCGCCCTCCGTCCCCGACTGCGGCAACCGTGGGCGCTCACGCACGCACGTGCCCAAAGAGCGGGGGCCCTTTGCACGGAAACTGCTCAACGGGACACTGTGGCCCGGTGGAGATGTGTCGACTGAGACTCAGGGCCGGTGCTGTCATGAAAATGGTCAGACATGGAGGTCTTTCCCTCTCACCATGTGTCAGTATACAGATATGTGAGGCTAATGTTCAAGAATGAATTGATAATAATTGATGTATACAACATTGTTGCTGGTGTAATCTGGTGTAGTTCTCCATGCACATGTTTGGTATTTAGAGGATGTTAACATTTCATGACATGTCATGCGGACCGCTGACGGTAGCGCCTTTCACCTGGGATGTGGGGGGCTCACTTGGCAATGAGGCTCATTGCCAACCCAGGAACGGATATGTAGTCATAATTTAGAAGTGTCTTTGGCTGTATGAGTGGATCTCACCAGTGGAAACACAGTAATCAAAGCAAGAAGCATTCCATAGAGTCCTAGTAGTCCCTGGCTCACATGCAACTGTTCTCACTCTATAGTTTGATATAGTTTGCACGATTTACACGGAGTTGTAGAATCAACAGGCAATTTGTACTTTGTACAGCGCATATTTGTTGTTTTATATACAAGGTCTACAGTATTTGCATTCAATGAATGAAACAAACATCTATTTGTACCTTTACAGTTGCACACATACAGTCAGAGAGAGAGAGAGAGAGAGATGAAGAAAGAAAGAAAGAGAGAGAGAGAGAGAGAGTCTGAGATAGTTCTTCCACCCCACATCTCTAGGTTGCCCTTGAGAGCCGGGGAGTGGCTTTGGGACGGCGAGCCAGAAGCTGCCTACCACGTCCGGCAGCTGTTGCGACCGGCCAGTGGCACTGCCATGGTCTGGCTCAGCGAGACGGTCCACCAGGCACGCAAAACGGGCAGACCCCTGGAATGAGCCTTCAAATAGATCCGATCCTTGAATGACCCCTGGAAGCAGCAAGGATAGGACGCCTTGAAAACAAGGAATCCATGGAGCGTAATCACTCTAGGGCAGGACTCAAGAATTTTACAGGCTTTGACGAAACTTGGTCCATATTTGCTATATAAGTCGAGTCCAGCAGACAGCCCAAGTTCTCCCAACCCAAGTCCGCCTTGTTCTGATTGTGTTGCATGTGTTCTTTTCAGGTGGAGCCAGTCCAAGGAGGACACCGGAAGAGCTTATTCTACTGGTTCACTTGCAAGGACGACTCTGTCGGATGAAAAGCCAGCAGAAAAGCTACTGGGACATATTGGGACCATTTGGGGTCCTACACATTCCTATAGACAGCGCTTTACAAAAACAACAGCAAATGTGGGGCTAGCTTGAATGTATGTGTGACTGTTCCGTTTTGCGCACACTGCACGATGTTCACACTATATGAGCGACGGACAAAATTATTGGTTGACTTACTTAGTCACGGCATGACCCTAAAACATCCTAAACCTATGTTGAGGGCTTTGTTTCTGTGGAAAACGATATGGTCCCCGCCAAAAACGATAATTTTGTTAAGGTGTAGTGGGTACAAAGATGTTTGTGGTTACCAGATGTTATTGCATTTGCATGTTTATTTGAGCAGATTTGAGCTAAACCGATGGGCACAACTTTTCATCAATGATAATCCCAGACAACTTCCCAAACGATAACCCAAACGATAAGCGAACGATAACCTAAATGTCACGTCAGGCACTCCGTAGACCTACTTCTCCACATTACTAGTGTTGGTCCGAGCTACTAGGTCCCCGCTTATTTGTTGTGATCCTTGCACAGCCCGGTGCCACAAGAACCCAAGTGCATAAATCAAGTGCTGTGCCATTCCTGTGCAGAAAGCACTGTAAGCCTCTAATCTGAGGTTGTGAGTTATATTTTGTGTTTTGGCCTATGTGCTGGTATGCTATGCTAACTACGGTTTGGAGAAACATTGGAGAACGATATGGACCCCACCAAAAACGATAATCATGTCAAATGGTATTGCGCTACACAAGTAATTTTGTTTGCTGCTCATATCAGTGCCTATTGGCGCCATAGTTGTTGGCTAGACCGTTGAAATGTTTAGGATTGTTTAGGCATCAAACATTCATAGACAAATCCACCTTTCGTGCGACGTCGGATCGCGGCCTGGCACCTGGCTCCGGCACCGTCAGAGGAGCCGTTGCAGGATGCCGCTTTTGATTGGACCGGGCTGGCCCAGCGCCTCCGAGATCCGACCGCCGCCCGGGAAAAGAGGAGCGGAGCTCGGCCGCCGAGAGAGGGACAGGCGAACTGCGCGGGCCTGTCGGAGACGTGGAGACGTGTTCGCCTTCGTGGGTTGATCGGATGTCAAGGTGGCGAAGAAGATGGCCAGGGTTGGCCCAAAAAGTCGCAGGGCCCAGCTGAAGTTGGGAAGCTGCTTCGGGCCCAGTGGATATGGCACGGCCGCAGGTGAAGACCTGGACGTTGGTTATACAGAGACGACAGAGAGGCGCTCCATATGGGTCTTTCATGAGCTATATTATGGGGTGTGCTTTAGAACGTTAATTATTCTAACCGTGAGTTCATGGAATATTCCAAGGGGTTTGCGGGGGGGGGGGGGGTCTCTAAGGGCCCCTCCATTCTATCTAATATAGTCTAGCAGCAGCCCATTGAGTTCAAACTAGCACAGCCTTAAAACTCCAAGGTCTTGTGCAGAAAGCTGCCATCCTGTTGAACACATCGTGAATGATGGATGTCCAACAAATGAGTGAGCACATCCTTTATACAAAATATATATATATATATAACTTAAGTTAGATGGAAGTTGCAGGACGTCAGGATGCCTCAATGAGTCAATGGGTGAAGCCGCTTTCAACGGAATCTCCCCGTTGAGCCAACGGACTGGCCCAGGTCACAGACGGTCTCCTTGGGCTCCGTGAAGTCTGGGGTGCAACTGGAGGAGGAGGCCTGGGGAGTCTGGTGGTGCCTCCTGGGTCTCCCGTTGGGGTCTCCCTCTGGGGTCTCCCTGGGGAGTCTGGCCACATGGCTGGTGTTCATGGGTGGGAAGGTTCAGGCTGACCCCCCCCGTCCACCAGGTTTTTTGGGGGCATAGGTGTTCACGTCGAAGACTATATATTTATATGTTGTTTTATTCAGGTGGAGCCGCCCAGAATGGCCCGCGGAGGCAGGTTGGTCCATTTGCGACAACATGCGAAGCCTAAACTCTTAGGTTTGACAATGATTGCTCTCGAAACGATATTTTTTGTGTGTAGTTTGGTCATTTTGTTTGACGGGAATGCAAGATCTTGCTGAGTTTCTTAAGCCATTCCTGCTGGTTCATGATGCTTTATTGCACCGTGTGTTTCATGACTTTTGCATCTCACCAATTCGAGACCACTCCATGTATACAAGCTGCATCGCTTCCTCCAGGAGCCACAAGTACAGATTCTGTCACCGGGATGGCGGAAGCTCCGTGCCAAGTATGGCCAGAGATCCCCAGCAAGTTCCGGCGCGTGCGAATCACGCAAGCGCGCTGGTACGACGGAGAAGTAGAACCGGGGAGAATGCCCAGAATGTATGGACTACTTACATCTACTTACACCATATCGCCATATGGTGTAAATGATTGTACATGTATGTAGCAACTATTTCGGTGTACGACTGTGGGCACCGCGACTCCTCTTGGTGGGATCCTTCCGGGGAGCTCGGCAATTGTTGGACTAGACGCAGGACGGCGAGGTCTTCACATGCACCAGGCGACCACAGGTCGTAACAGTCCTTAAATGGGTGATCCAATTTTCATCCACCAAGAACAGGACAAACAAAGCAACATCCGATCCATTGTACCAATGGGTGGGGCGGTGCGTGTTTTCTTTACCTAGATGCGCCATGCGTCGCCCGCCCTGGGCCACGGCCATCACTTCCTCAGGCCACTTCCGTCAGAACTGCGTCGTTTCCTCAGGCGGTGCTGCTGCCTTTGATCAACTGCTTCAGCAAGTGAGAGCCAGCAACACACAGCAGCTGTATGAGGATGATTGGCCCGGGCGTCCCAGGGAGAGGAGGATGACTTGAATTTGAGAGGATGGTGCAGAGGCATCAACTCTTGGAATATTTGTCAGTAGACCAGTCTTATCAGCCAGCTAAAGCTATGTTGTCCCTTGTTGGCTTTGTTTTTTGTCTCGAATCCATGTGGAATGATTGGGATCCTGGTCACCCATGGAAAACAGACACTCCCGCAAAAACGATCCCATGGACCTGGGTGGCAACCTGGGTCCGACGGTGTTCCTCGACCAGCGGGTCGTGGTTGGATAAGGGTCCATGTGAGTCAGACCAGCGGAGTTTGCCACCTCTCTCCAATTTGCTTACCAACTTCGTCTACTTACCAATCTCTCTCCAATCACCGTTTTCTTGGTAAGTAGACTAAGTTGGAGAGATAAGTGACGTCGTCACTAAGTGACTGGGGTCTTCAAAGTCACAGTCTTGGCTTTCCACCACTTGGGAGTGATGAATCGATCCTATGTCCAGAGCTGTTCGATTCAGAACACCGTTCTCAGATGAAAAGAGACAGTGTTTTTGGTTGAAATGACAGGGTTTTACTACTTTTATTACACCTTTTCTTCAAACAGATTGCGTATTTCCCATACATATCACGTATCATACAGCCAGTCTGGGTTGAGATCAAATTTGGACGGTCGGGAGTGGACGACGTGGTGCAGAGACGTGCTTTGCCGACCGGGACAATGCGCTTTCGGTCAGGAGCTCGTGGTCCGATGCGTTTGGAATAATATAGTTGTTTCTATGTGTGTTATATGTATGTTTAAGAAATTTATGTGTATATATATATATATATATATTGAATCTATTTATCATACAGGCAACCTCGAATGATCATTCATTCAGAAATTCCAGTGCGCCACACGTCTTAATTAAAATTGAAAACACATACAACAAGTGATTGGACATGACCATTTTCTGATTGTATCCATTTTGGCTGTATTTGGTGGCATGTTCCCACCTGGGATGCAGCCATGTCATACGGTGACACATGGGAACATGCAGCGGAGTGAGACACTTTGTGGGTCGAGGGCTGTGTCAATCGCGGAATGGCGCCGACCTTCTTCCTCAAGAGATTTAGAGCTGGTCAAGCTGGCATGGCTGCAGTTTGTGACGAATGTGTCCTACCCAGAAATACCCATCAAATACCCGTCCTTACACTCCACAAATACCCGTCCTTACACTCTGAGATATGCTGGAGAGTGAGTTTCAAGAACTGCAAATATTGAACCACATGCAGAGTGGACCGGACCACTACGGAGATCCGCAAGTGGCTCGATCCGAGGGCGGCTTCGCCCGCAGCCGTGGCCGTCTTTCGCCTTGTACCTTGGACCGTGGCTCGCCGAGGCTCCACACTGGGGAAAGCTCTCCTCAAACTGGACGTGCGCCCCACCACTTTGCCTCAGTGGTCGGCTTCTCCCGACCGCAGCCCACCCCCCTTGGGGCGAGTTTGTGCGACATCGGACCGGCACATGCACTTGGTAAGACCCGGGACAGCTCAGAGACCAAAGACCGGAACTGTAAGGTTTTCAAAACACTGCAGGTGTCGGTGCCGGTGAGCGTGTTCGGAACCACACGTCCGCGGTGGGCAGTGGGCTGTGTTCTTTCAACATGAGAGACGTCTTCTCATGTCAAGCGAACCAACGTCCAGACGGCTCTGGAGGTTCCCTACAAGACGGCTTTGTTTCGTTTTTGTGCCAGCATCCGTCAGCGACAGAGGTTGTCGCAAGAAGGTGCGCAAGAAGGTGGACGTGCATGTTTTCTGGCCCCAGGAAGGAAGATCATAAAACATGAGGAGATGACACTATCATGAAACATGATCACGCAGTCATGCAACTTGACAAAATCATGGATGCCAGTGGATGGCAGCCAGGCCCTGTTGGCACACCAGGAACGCCCAATTACCAATCAGGGCTCGGGGAACTCCACTTCCATGGAACGTAGACAGCGGAGTTACTGGCCACGGCTCCCGGAAAAAGATGTTTTTCAACAAGTATATAGTAACTATCCTTAACTTTGTGACAAACATGAAGGTGTTTCCAACAAGTAGCATCCAAGTAGCATCCTTTGTGACAACTCTTTGCCATTTTCCATGTGTCAAAGGCGGTCCTTCACCCTCCAGGGCGCAAATTTGTGCGGTTGGCGTTTCCAGGGGAGTTCCATGGGTGTTTTCGGAAGTCTTTTTTGTTCTCAGCTTTCAAGAGGCCAATAGGTTTAATATGACCATGACTTCAGGATGACTCTATATATATTAACATTATATATAGATCTATAGATTGACTTTTTAGTCGATACAGCCATTGAGCGACGCCACCATGGAGCCATGGCAAGGTGGGGCGTGGTTGATTCGTGGTGCATCGTAGCATCTATATATAGGTTATTCGAAGGTATAGTTCAGGCCTGTGAACATGTCCTATAAAGGTCTCCGAAAGTTTCATGGAGTGTTTGGGTGTTGCACACTCCTACTGTTCAATGTTTGACAACATTTGATATTTGGCTAGCTTCATTGAGAACAGAGTCTTATATCATGTTGTTTTCCATGTTCCATCCTTATGTTGAAAGGCGCCCCTTCCGAAGGAAAACCTGAGCAGCCAGCTGATTACACGCAGACCCGGCGGAGATAAAACATTTATGAACAATATATTATATATATATATTATATAATATTATATTAAAATAGATTGTTCTTACTCATTGTTATGTGATTTAGACACCATCGAAAGTCAACCATGCTCGAACATGGAGAACGTCACTTGGAAGAAGCGTGACAAGATCATGAAAGCCATATCCCAATGGGTTCATGGAGTTTGCCGAAATGCACAGGTGTGGCGGATCGATACCGATCCTAGGGTGCTACCACCAACCAAAGGAGGATGACCCAACCGAGGCATGAATGACAGTTTGGGCATAGCCTTCTAGAATCCGCACCCCACTGGCAAAGCCTGCTTCGACATGACTGCGGTGTGAGAATAGACATGACTGCGGTGGGATATATATTGCCCAGTCATTGCGCACCACATCGGAGTATCCAGTCACTGCATCGACGTGTCGCCGAGCGGGGCAGGCATCGGGCGCACAAAGCCATGTGTCCCTACCGAACACTCTTGGGCCTTCTTCTGGGTGGGATCATTGCATCTCGGCCTTCGGATCGCTCTTGGGATGGACACTATACGTCAATATAATACAATATCAATAATGTATATGTATTACCGCAATACCTTAACCATCCTGAACCTGCATTTGGGGGGTTGATCACTGCTTTTGTTTTTGTGTTTTTGTGTGCGTTTTTTGTTCAACCCGTACATGCATGTTGTTGGGTTTTGACGGGTGTTTAGCATTTTATTCTATGCTGAAGACTTTTTTCTTGGGCCAAAGGTGAAAACCCGCAACATGCCCAGCAAAGGCCCAGCAAATTGAAAA